ATCAATATAATAATATACAAATATGAATAGATATATTAATACGGGGTGCGATGGATAAATCTCTTCTAAAATTACGCAAAAATGAAAATAACACTGACATATATATATGTATTTTAACACATATATTTACCAGAATTATACAAAAATATCTTGCAATTCAAAAGGGTAAATCTATTCAATAAAATCGTCACTGGCTTTGAGTATGGCCTCCAAATAATTTCAGAATCTCCAGCATATCTTTTGGACGGCCTCATTTGTTTAAGTTGGTCAGTGCTGCCATAATCCATGCCTTAAGTTTATCTTTCGCATTACAAGGAGTTTTTGCAAGAGGCTTGCAGTTTGGAGAGTTAGGTGACAAAGCTGTAAGGGATAATGTGGCCACAGAAATTGTCTGACAGTCGTGACTGGGTTCTCCAGCTTGCGTGGCGTGGTGCAGAGTCCTGTTACCAGTCATCTTCCAGCAGCCACCCTCTTGACCCAGGACAGCACTACTACCTCAAAGCACTTGATGTAGGCCTTCTGGGAAGATAAATGGATGCATAACTTTTCCATCTCTGGGAATGATTACAACCATCTTCGTATATACCATTAGACTCATAGAACTCTTTCTGTCTTCAGATTCAGACCCAAGCAATCTGAAATGTTTGTATTAGAGCTTTCGGTGCGAATGCTAAGCAGTACAGTATGACGTTTCCAAATTTATGACTGAGTGAATTGCGTCATGCTGCTCTTTTTCTCATAGATGGTGCCCAACTGACCCTACTATACCGTGCAATCGACAAAATCAAAGACAACGCGCATGCGCAAAATTAAAAATATAAAATGGCGACAATTTACTCATTGCACCCTGCATATCTATTAATATGTGGTCAATTTGAGAGATGAAATTAATCTCTCAAAATTTTAAATATTTAATTTTATCTCTGTAAATTCTACTAAACATAATTTTATGTATAATATAACAATGATATTGTAAAATTTGTCTACACTATAAAATAATATTGTAAAACTTGCAGGGATGAATTAAATATTGTTGAATGTGGAGAGATAAAATTAAATATTCTAAGAGATAAGATTAAATGTTTTACAATTTTTAAAGATAAAATTGAACATTGAAGAATTAATTAATAAATTTATCTCTCAAAACTCATATGATTTTATCCCTATAAATCCTCCTAAATTTAATTGTATCCAATTTCGTTGAATTTAAAGAGATCAAATTGAATATTAAATTGTGTAGAATTTGGAGATCCAAAATGTACATTTTTACTGAAATTAAAGTCTTCTAGATTCAATATTAACGATAATGTTCGCAATCGTAAAAAGCAAAGTATATTCTATAAATGTGGCAAGAACGTACTTGTTTCTTTTCTGACCAAAATCTATTTTTATAATCTGTATATAAATTGTGAAATTTGCAGAGCTAAAATTAACATTCATTAGTAAATTAAAAAAATATATATATAAGCTTATAAGATTGTCAGTGAAGACACAGATTATAATATCACTACTTTTAACGATATACGAAGGAGAGATGAAAAGTTCTTGTCCCAACCAACTATCCTAAATCTGACCAAAAGACAAAACAATTTTTTTTTTGGTATTGACGGGGAGTTGGCCAAGAAATTACGTCGGCAGTAATTATGTAATTTTTTTTTATTCTTACTGTGTTCGATTTGTTAAGGAGTTGACATATTAATAATGTATACCTGGAGATACGAGCCCAATGTTGAGAAGTACCTGAAAACAATACCAAACCCTGTGAGTTAAATTAGTGAGACAATACCGTTCGGAAGCAAACAATAAAGATAAATGTCTCAGCAGGTGTTTGCAACAGGGATTAGCTGTTCATTCGAGTAGACTCAACAGTTTCGGGCTAACGTTTTCCGTTGGCATGAAATGGAAAAGATTATCTTGAATCAATTGCTAGGTTTATTGCTAGGAAAGTTGGCTCACTGTGTCGTACTAGACAATTTTTTCTCGTCAGAATCGATATATACATTTCTAAATCTACCATTCGTTTATGCATTGAATATTGCTGCCATATCTAGTCTGGTGCTTTTGTAAAGTATTTCGAGATTCTTGATAAAATACAAGAATCTGCAATGTTATCAGTTCTGATTTGTTATCTCGACTTCGGCCATTTTCCCATCGCCGTAATATAACTTTCCTGTGCTTTAAATATTTCCATGGTAATTTTTTTATGTATTTTCTTCCAGACTTTATGAATTTAAGCGCAGTACTAGATTGGCGGCAAGGTCTCATCATTTTACAACTGAAGTGGATATATGTAAGTTTTATAAGTATACAAGCTAACAGTTTCTTCTCTCGAACTTCGCATTTGTGGAACTCTCTTCCGGCTTCTTGCTTGGACTTCAAGAATTTAAAAGCAATGTCAGTTATCTCCTGTCGTCTTAATTCCTGTTCTTTTATTGTTCTCTCTGCTTAGTAATGTTTTTTTCCCTTATATTTTGACACTCAGTAACACCTTGCGTCTTAGTGACATTATCGCCTTGCTTGGGGTGAAAACATACAAAAAAGTAACGGATTTCTACAATTCAAAGAAAGAACAAAAGCCAATGTTTCCATTTGGAAATAAATTAAAAATAACATCAGAACGATGAATTTGTGCTGTAAAAAACGAATTTATTATTAATTACAAATTACATTACAAGTACATGCAGAGGGTGATGATAATTAGGTATCTGCATGACTAGGCTATTAATTAGGGGCATCAGCTAATCCCTATTGCAGGCGCCTGCACAGGAACATTCTGTTTTTCTTCAGCACTCACTGAGCAAACATGTGTTTTTTTACTGAAACTATGCAGATTGGACTTTAGTTACATCTGCTAAGAGAGGGCGCATAATCTGGTCAGTATGCTCAAGACCTCGACCACGATGACCTGTGACTTCGTGCTAACACAGCCAGCTTTCAAAGAGTACCGTCTACCTAATTTTACCCATAACGCTCTTGTCAACGTGTAGTATTGTTTTCTAGCACTACTATAAGATGGTCTTCTCCCCAGGTCGGTACTGTCAAGAAGCTAGCTCCCTGAAAAAGCGGCCGCGATGAGATTCGAACCGAGGTCTCATGGCCCGGGTGCTAACCACTCGGCCACGCAACTCACTTGTAATCTCCTGTCCTCGTAAAAAGCTGAATAAATAATACACTTGAACAACAGATGCGGATTTGCCTCAAAAAGTTTAAGTCGATTTTCATTAGATGTTTGCAGAATATTTGTCCTTTTATGTGTCTAATTCTTTTCGGGAAGGGTCACTGTGTCGGAGTAGACAATTTTTTCTCGCTAGAATCTATCATATGCATTTTAAATTCTACGATTCGTCCATGCATTGAATATTGCCACCACATCTGGTTTGCCTGTTCTGCTATATATTTAGAGATTCTTGATAAAATACAAAGGGGAATCTGCAATGTTATTGGTCCGGAACTGGCACCTCGACTTCGGTCACTTATTAGTTTCTGTCTTTCGCTGCTCTGGGAAATCTTTGACTCTTTACAATATTTCTTTATCTCAGTTAATATTTTCTATCCATTTTTATTGTTCACCCAATAAAAGGCTCAAGGGTCACTCAAGGTAGAGTGTTATACAATAAGGCCGTTGCAAGGGCTTACACGGAAGGGAGTAAATGGTTTGCTTATTCTGAGGATATGTGAGATAGATAACGGTTGATCCTTGCCTTGAAGAGGTAAGGGATGCAGTTCTCGAGGAAACATCCTTTCGAGAATCTGTCCCACAACGTAAGGGTTCAGGGGAAGAAGTTGGCCGAGTGGAAATTCCGTCTTACCAATGGAATACGAAGAGAATAAAGATTTACGTGGCTTCGCGAGTTCTCACTGATGAGGTCTGGACTGGTTAAGCTCGCCTGAACATCTGTCATGCAAATAGCGACAGGCTAACTACGTTTCATATATGAGAAAGAGGTGAGAGAATAATTCATTATTCATAAGGCCGCGTAAACGGTTTTGAACCCTGTTAAAGTTGGTAGATAAGGATTAGACATCTTCAGCCTCAATATGGAAGTAACACCCCATTAAATAACAACCATAGTTGTTATATTAATGATGACTAGTAATACCTGTGAGAATTTCATTCTTATATTATCTTAATTTTAATTCTTAAGTTAATAACTGAATAAGCTCCTTGCGAATTCTACGATTATGAAATACCCTTTGAAATTCTCGTATTTCATCATTAAATATTTGAGATTCTTATGTTAGGTTTAAGATTGTTGTTTGAGGTTGATAAGGTGTCGTGGGTTGATGAACAAAACCCCCATGTATTTCAGTTGAGAAAATAGACAAACAGCAAAAAGAATAAATAAAAGATAGAAACTATAACGGAAAATTTTAGTATAGCGAATATTCAAGGATATTTCCTGAAAAAAGTGTAAATTCAAGGAATATTCTTATGATAGTACTTTAAAAGTGAAGAAATGCTTGAACCTACTTTGTTAGTGAGTTAAAGAGTAAGTGAGCTGTCTTCTCTAAGACATGTATGTCTGCTGCCGGAGCGCTAATTTTAGCGTCCTACCTAGTGCCCGGCACGGTATGACGTATGCTCCCAGCTTTTTATGAATGTCTATTAGTTGAAAAACAGTTACTGCTAACAGGGTTTTCAACGCATGCGTATCCGGTGAAACCCGTCTCTGATATGTCTTTTCCATCTCTCGCGAATAGTCTATTATTTATGACTAACTGGCAGGTCGTTTTTCATTTCCCTCCTCCTTTCATTCATTCATTTTTTCTTTCACAGAAACTAAAATTTCTGTCTTTCCTCGTGTTCAAAACGGAATTGTCTGTTATTGATAAGGTATTGGCAGGAGATTTGTTTGTTTGTTTGTTTGTTTGTTTGTCTTTCTTTCTTTCTTTCTTTCTTTCTTTCTTTTACACGAACCAAAATGTATCTTTAATATGTCATGTACAACTTTCTTCATGATCCAAACGGAATATTCTATTATTTATGAGGTATTGGTAAGGTTCTTTCTTTCTTTCTTTCTTTCTTTCTTTCTTTCTTTCTTTCTTTCTTTTAATTGCACCAAACTGCGTCTGTGATATGTCTTTTCCTTCTTTTCTCGCGATCAAAACGGAATAGTCTATTATTTATGATTTATGACGAAGTGGCAAGGCGCTTTTCATTTCCCTCCTCCTTTCATTCATTTATTCATTCTTTATGCTCACCGTAACTAAAATGCATCACTGATTTGCCTTTCTGTCTTTCCTTTTGTTCAAAACGGAATTGTCTGTTATTGATAACGTATTGACAGGTCGTCTTTCTTTCTTTCTTTCTTTCTTTCTTTCTTTCTTTCTTTCACAAGAACCAAACTATATGTCTGATACGGTATGTCCATCTTTCCTCATGATCAAAACGGAATAATCTATTATGTGTGAAGTATTGGCAGGGTGTTTTTTTATTTCATTTCTTTCTTTCCCTAGAACCAAACTGCGTCACTGATATGTCTTATCTGCATTTCCACGCGATCAAAACTGAAAAGTCTATTATTTATGAGGTATTGATAGGGAGCTTTTAATTTCTTTCTTTTTTTTTAATTGCATCAAACTGCGTCGCAGATATGTCTTTTCGTTCTTTCATTGTGATCAAAACGGACTGTTCCATTACTTTTATGGTATTAGTAAGGCGTATATATCATGATATGAAATATTACTTCAGAGGTAGTCGAACGACTTTTGGCAGTCATGTTTCCTTTACGAAGAAATAGTAAATCCAGAATGTACGCCATCAAATTATTGGGAACAATTCAAATTTGTCAAGTGAAGCATGCTAAATTCAATATGATGGCCAACCGGAGGATGCAGGATCAAAATAAGAAGTCACCAAAGATTACATTAATGGATTAAAGAACAAAGAAAATAGCGGGAAAGCTTAGGGAGGAGAGACACAGTCGATTCAAATGACGTCACGTATCAAAAGAGGCGGAGAATTGAGTTGACCACGTGTTCAGCTGATCGAACATCTCTACTTACACATGGATACTTGTTTGGCACAGGGACTCTAGGATAGAGCACCAAATCAATAGGAATTAATGTAAGGATTTAAAGATGTATACCAGACGGAGTTATATAGCATCTAATGACATGAAATGATAAATATATTTAAAAAGATTAGCCAAGTCTGATCCAAGGACTCAATAGTGAAGCACCTAATCAACAGAAATTAATATATTTAGAGTTTATTGTGCCATAGTAAGCTTATCTCTTTAAATACCTATTGCTATACAACTACTCTACACGCAAGACTCTAGTGTCCTGCTGGCGGTCCGCCGACGGCAACGGTTGCGGTCCTCAAGTGGCGGCTACTGGCAGACCAACGTTGGGTCACTAGCGGTTCACAAGTGGTAACATTGCCTTAGCGAACACGCCGGCGGTCCGACAGCGGGCCACCAACGGTAAAAGCTAGTGGCATGCCACCAAGTGGCAGATTGGTGGCTTGCGTGTAGGGTAGCGAATGCTATATAAGGGAACAGCAAAACAGTGAACTAAAATCGATATAACAACGCCATCATGACGATGTGGCGTGTGTGAATTACCCCTTAGAAGCACCAAAACGTCATTTTAACGGAAATATATTTCTAATTAGGCCTTTGAAAGATTTGCCTGATTGTGGCGGGGGTGGGGAGAAATAGCCACATGGATTTCGTCCGAAATTTTAAAAATTAAAATTTAATTGCCTAGATTCATAATCTAGCTGCATATTTAAACACATTTTTTAGCCTCTCCAAACCGCCAAGCTGGTTTGGAAAGCTTCGCTCCTTCCCCGGTCACACTGCCAGTTCGCCATATTAGATTGTCTGAGAAGCACTGGGCTAGCTCTCTTTTGATTGTCTTAATATATATTTTCGCTTTCTGACCATGAGACCAGGTTTCGAATCTTACCCTGGTTAATTTATTCACCCGAGGGAGGCGATCCCTGTGTGTGGCACCGTTTGAAAGTGTCTGAGAAGCCATACCGCCGGTTGACCCAAGCCTTGTTAGTTAAACTGAGTAGCCGGAACCGTCAGAAGCAGTCGATAATTGTTCCAGCGCGAAATCGCAATTCATCGTGACAGAGGATTTGGGGCATGCCAGACTTGTTTTAGAAGCTGTAACTAATGTCCGCTCCGCATAGTTGCAGTATAAACCACAGTTATGTCCTGTGGATTCGATCAGGCGTCTGTGATAGGGTGTGGCTAGTCGCTCTGGTGGGCGGGTGTGCTCCGAAACGACTTGTAGCCGGTCATTTATTTATATGTTAAATAGATCCGGTGATAATGAAATATGCTTCTTTGACTTTATTTTCTATTTTGTGTACGTTCTTCACTTGTTTCCTATCCACATACGGGCGAGTTGTCATTTCTGTTTGACCCTTAAGATTTCCATCAACACGTATCTTTTGTGTATCTTGTGTTGCAAAGATTATGTCCGCCAATAATCAATCTGGCTACGTTTTCGAATTCTCTTATAATTGTCTCTGGTTAAATAAATGCAGTAAAAAACGTCCCCTTGTCGTATTCCTTTTATTATTCTGTATTCACTAAACTTGCTCTTCCTTTGTTCGCGGTAGATATTACGGCTAACTCGACTATCTTTACTGCGTAAGTAACGTTGTCTAATATTTCAAGACGTTTTTAATGCTGTACCCTACCAAACGTCCGTTACAAAGGTTTTTTGTCTTTATTTTGTCACTCTGATAGTTTTCTTATCATAAAATTAGCATTTCTTGTTCCAGTGTCTTGAAAAAACTGTACTGTTCTTGCGGTATTTCCAGACTAATTCTACTAGAATCCTAATAATTAGTTGTGTGGAGCATTCAAATGATTCTGCAATGGAGTTCGCATTCACTGGAAACTTGTTTCTTTGGCAGCGCTATAAAGATAGATCTACTGAGGGCTTCGGGTATTTCGCCGGTGTTATATATTTTATTTATCACTTTACTAATCGATAACCGATCAAACTCTCAGTATTTCTATTGGAATCTTTTCTGGTCTTGTTGTTGTGTTCTTTTTCATCTTGGTAAATGCTGACCTAACCCCAGCTTTTAAAATTACAAGACCTATATTTTTAAGATATAATGTGTAGTTTATCTTTTTAGTCACTGTATCCAATTTTTGTCGTCGATTTTTTTTTCTTTGATGTGGAAAGACCGATAAATTGGTTTAGCTGTTTTTAATCGTTAATATATTTCAGTTTAACCATTTTATGGTAATATATATGTTCATTTTATCTTGGCTGGCCCTGATAACTGAATAAGGTCGTTGTAATTGGAAGGTTTGCTTATGATATGGCTATGTAGGGTAAATATTGGTTATCTTATTCTTAAAGTGGTTAAGATTGCATTGATCGGGGAGCACCCCCAGCATTGTGAGTCCGTTTAGCATTGCAACTGTTCTCGGGAAGAAACAGTTTAAGTGGAAAACTCTTAACTAATGTAATATGAACGGAATGGGGGATAATCGTCACAGTATGTGTGGCATGGGCGGTCCTAGCTGTTACAGTCTGAACTGGGGAAACCAAGAAAGGACCCTGTAGCTTTAAAAATCTTTAGCAATCATGTTATCTGTCTTTTATCTAGTTATCTGACTCAGTTCATTCCTATCTATCTATCTATCTATCTATCTATCTATCTATCTATCTCGTTTTAATCATTTCACCCCAAGCAAGGTAATAAAACCCCAAAGACGCAAGGGATTAATGAATGTGAAACAATATGAGAAATGAACATGAAGGAAGAGGAATTAAGAAAACAGAAAATAACCATTGAAACTGCATTAACATTTTTGAAGATCAAACATGAGTGAAAAGCAAGAAGCCGGAAGAGAGTTGCACAAGGGGGAAGTATGAAAGAAGAGACGGTTAGCAGAGAAATTACGATTACATTTAGCCATTTAAACAGTGAAATGATGAGAGTTTCTGCCAATCTAGTTCTGGACTTAAATTCATAAAATCGAGAGACGAAAAATGAAAGTTCATCGGAAGAATTACCATGAAAATTACTATCTATCTATCTATCTATCTATCTATCTATCTATCATTTCAATTGTTACAGATCTATCTATCTATCTATCTATCTATCTATCATTTCAATTGTTTCATATCTATCTATCTATCTATCTATCTATCTATCTATCTATCTATCTAATCTGAATTGTTTTATATCTATCTATCTATCTATCTATCTATCTATCTATCTATCTATCTATCTATCTATCTATCTCTAATTTCAATTGTTACATATCTATCTATCTATCTATCTAATCTTTACTGTTTCATATCTATCTATCTATCTAATTTCAATTGTTTCATATCTATCTATCTATCTATCTATCTATCTATCTATCTATCATTTCAATTGTTACAGATCTATCTATCTATCTATCTATCTATCTATCTATCTATCTATCTATCTAATCTCAATTGTTTCATATCTATCTATCTATCTATCTATCTATCTATCTATCTATCTATCTATCTATCTATCTATCTATCTATCTAATCTGATTGTTTTATATCTATCTATCTATCTATCTATTCATCTATTTTTAATCTAATCTATCTTTTTTCAATTGTTAGATCTATCTATCTATCTAATCTATCTATCTATCTCTAATTCAATTGTTTCCATTATTATCGTCGTATCCTTTAAAAAATCTATCTATAGTTTTACGCCCTTTTCCAGTAGAGAATAAAGTGCTGAATTATTACGTCGTTTTTATTTCATTTGTTTTTATTTCATTTGTTTTTTTTTTTTCAGAGTAATTACTAGGTGAATAAGCACGAGATCACTCGCTTTATTTGCGCTGCTCTCAACCCCAGATTGGGAGGCAAGTGTATCATTTGATGCATTCAAATTGTGTGACTGGAACTTTTTTTTTCGTCGCCTCTGTGAAGAAAAACACAATAGACTGAATAGAATCTGATTGTTACCGTTGAGATAGAAGTGACACGTAGTTGTTTTATGAGAATGATTTATATTTGAATTATTGCTCCTGCTAAGGGAGAAGCATAGTAATGGAGTACAATGATCAAAAGGAACATTTTGAAAATAGACATCTACTTAAAAGTAATTAGGTGTACACAGACAAATGTGGATATATATATATATATATATATATATATATATATATATATATATATATATATATATATATATATATATATATATATAAATTATATATATATAAATACACATTTTATATAAATATATATATATATATATATATATATATATATATATATATGAAGAAATATAGACTTAAGCTGTGGTATGAATCAGCCTGTCGCCTCTAAGTGTTCAATGTTCACTTTTATATATATATATATATATATATATATATATATATATATATATATATATATAAGCAAATATATGGATATAGATCCGACAGTATGAAGAAAAATATACGGAAAAAACAAACAAAAAATCCTAATATACAATTATGCTGTTTTAATGTTAATATAATGTCAACGTCGGACGTTTCAGTCTAGAAACCATCTTCAGGACATATTATAAAATTATAATTAACATTATCAATTCAACATGACAAAGATAATGTTAATTATATTTTATGAATATGTCCTGAAGATGATTTATTAGACCAAAACGTCCGACGTTGACATTATATTAACATTAAAAACAGCATAATTGCATATAAGGATTTTGTTTTTTTTTTCCGTATATTTTTCTTCATATATATATATATATATATATATATATATATATATATATATTATATTTTTTTCATATAATTTTATATAAATAATCACACACATACATACATACATATATATATATATATATATTTTTCTTCATACAGTTTTATATAATCACACACACACACACATATATATATATATACATATATATATATATATACGAATAAAGACAAAAGAAAAACTCATCTTAGACGATGTGTTTCATCCTCTGTGTGACTTTATCAAGGCAAATGCAAGGATATTTCTAAATTTTGGAGTTAGGAACATTTGCCAATATTCATCAGGTTAGCTGAAACGTCTAGCAAGCGAAAGGGGCGCTAAATGAAGCAATTCTCTGTGTAATAGACAAAAGTAAGGAAGTGATATTTTGTAAATTTTTGGTATTTTAGAAATTTAGTGCAAATTATTATTTGAGTATTTAAATTGATTTAGTTTGAGATTAATTTATGTGTTATCTATTTTGAATAAAATAAGGTCATGTGTTTAAACGTTTCATTTAAATTTAAAAAAATGTTGTCATGTGTCTTGGGTTTCCAGAGAGGACGAAACGCGTCGGATATACTCTATCTGAAATGTTTGCATATTTATATATATATATATATATATATATATATATATATATATATATATATATATATATATATATATTTGTATATATATATTTTGTGTGTATATATATATATTTTGTGTATATATATATATATATATATATATATATATATATATATATATATATATATATATATATATATATATATTTGTGTATATATATATATATTTGTATATATATATATATTTATATATATATATATATATATATATATATATATATATATATATATATATATATTTGTGTATTTGAAAATATATAGAAAATAGGAAGGAACTGGTTAGGTAAATAATCCAAAGTCCCTTAGTATTTTAGTTATTATTTTTAAAAAATAATGCTCGATACAAAAGTAGAGCATAAATATAATTATTTATTTAAAAATATGATTCCAAATCGCTACATAAGAGGTATCATGTTTCAAAACAGGAGCCGAAAACTTCAATATAATCCTTTAAATTAAATTGAGTTGAAAGTAAAATGGGCTCCGTTCCATCTTCAAGCGAAATTTTTGTTGGAATAACGTATATCTGAAATTTATTTGTTTTAAAATTGAAATCAAAATCCCCATGGTAACAGCTAGGGTGAATTGTCTAAATTGGGTGAAGAGTGTAGGGTGTTTATAATAAGTAGCGGTATAGAGATACTTTCAAGGTGTCAAGTCGAGGAAAGGTGGGGGTGTCAAAAATGAAACGGAAGATGTATTGGCCATCGTCTAGTTTGCTTGTCTATGGAGATTTATTTTATTTTATTTTATTTTATTATGAAAGGGAATTGTGCATATAAAAAAAAAGAAAAACTTTCGTAACGTTTGTTTTTTTGACTTCAATTTTAAAACAAGTAAATTTCAGATATACGTTATTCCAACAAAAATTTCGCTTGAAGATGGAACGGAGCCCATTTTACTTTCAACTCAATTTAATTTAAAGGATTATATTGAAGTTTTCGGCTCCTGTTTTGAAACATGAGACCTCTTATGTAGCGATTTGGAATTATATTTTTAAATAAATAATTATATATATTTGTGTATATATATATACATTTGTGTATATATATATTTGTGTATATATATATATTGTTATATATATATATATATTTGTTATATATATATATTTGTGTATATATATGTGTGTGTATATATATATTTGTGTGTATATATATATTTGTGTATAAATATATATATATATATATATATATATTTGTGTGCATATATATATTTGTATATATATATATATAAAAAGAAATATGTTGTAGTGGTTCCAACGAGAGAAAAGTATGTATATTAAAAAGAAGGGTGGTGCCGCAAACGTTTTTGGTTGTAATGTGGATTTATTGAGAAAAATATTATACTTTGTTTTACATAATTTCACGACACGTGTTTCTGGTCTCGCAAACCGTCTTCAGGTGAAAGTGGAGATTTCTACATATTATTAAAAATAATTAATTTTTCTTCATGTTTCAATGTGGAATATTCTCGATATGAGACATTCTGTTTGTGTGTTGGCAATCCGAATTTTCTTTCTAGAATTGTCAATGAAGAGTTCTGCGCGAAGGGTCATAAAACAATTAAGGTTTGTCCAGCGAGTAGTTATCGGCATTTAATCTTTTAATGTTTTAGTGACCTCTATGTGCTCTTGGATCTGTTTCTATTTTGGTGTCTTCCTGTCAGCATGCGTGTATATATGCATGCGTATATTTCCTTACTACGAGGAATTCGTAAACTTATTTGTACTTATACACGCATACACACAGATACGCACATACACACTATCCCACCACAAGTAGTCAGTACACACACACATATACACACATATTTCCCAAGCTACATGGAACCAGTACACACACACACACACACACACACACACATACACACACACACACACACACACACACACACACACACGTACTTCTTAAGTTGTCAACATCCGCATATACATACATAAATGTATGTATGTGTACATACACATATATATATCCTCGTGTCTCCCGTATATGAGTGTGCGTCCATGTATGTGAGCGATTTGATCATTGTATTTGGTCACCCTGTGTGTTTTTTTTTTTTTTTTGGGGGGTTACGATCTATTCAGTTCGGGTTTGAATTTGTCTATAAAGTTTTTTTCCTGTATTTGTGGATACGAGTAATTGTCTGTTTGATATATCGGCATGATATTAAACTTACCCTGGTTACATTTGAAAATGTGTTGTGATACAAAAAGTTTCTGTTGTCTGTCAATTTTATATTGCTTTTGTGTAGGGAGACCCTGTTGTTCAGTTGTTGGCTGATGCCTATATATGACTTCTTACATTTTGTGCATTTAAGCATAAATTACATTTTTGGAGTTGCAGTTTAAGTTTTTGTTTATTGTGAATGTTTTTTTTGGTTTTCAAAAGTGTAGGGTTTCCTTCTATAATGATGTCACAAACTCCACATCTTTTTTTGTTGCATTTTGTGACTCCCTGTATTTTGTGTTGGCTAAATTTAGATGAGGTTAATATGTGTTTTAGGTTTCTAGATTGGCGTTTGCTCTTAATTATTTTGGTTGTTTTTAGTATATTATTCAGTTTATTATTCTTGCTAAGTAAATCTAGATTTTTTGTGATTTCTGGGAATATTTCTGGGTTGTTTTTGTTGTACGTTGAGACATATGCTAGAGTTTGTTCGACGTTACGTTTCTTTTTTTCTAAGTTGGTCTAGAGGAATTTCTTTCATGAGTTCAATACCTTTGTTTATTAGTGTTGTGGGGTAGCCTCGTTTCTTGAGAGTTTTATGTAGTTCTTCTAAGCGGATTTTTTCGGAGATGTTTATCAGTCACTATTGTACAAA